TGACCTGTGTCTGCCAAACAGGACTTAATTAACCTTTAGTGCTAAAGGCACGATCTTTTTCCTTTCTCATTGATCCTAAACTCTTCCCCTGCCATGCCCACGTTTGAATATGTAGCTTCTCGGAGCATTTTCCAAGGACCAAAGAATTTTCTGTCCTTGATTGTCTGAATCGAAGACCTGATCTGGCAGTTTGAAATTAACTTTAGAAGGGATTCTTGTCATCAAGTGGCAACAGGTTCTGCAAATGTTGGTATGTTCCAGTGGAGGATATTACCATGGGGCCATTTAAACTTGCTGTCTGATGGCCATATGAGCATCACCCATTCTCTCTCTAGTTGAATAATTATCAGGCGCTGCCATGGGCTTCTGTTAATGGGAATTCAAACCCATGTGGTGTGCTGGTTTTTGTCAATGCTTATAGGTACTGTAAATACAAGTTCAATCATATTGTTGGTTCTAAGCACAAGAAAAATAGCTAGCAAGTCAGAAAACTTAAGATGGGACTTAATTGCACTTCCTAAAATGTTTTTCATAGGAGGCAATGTGGAAGGATGTCTCGGGCTTAGAGCTGCTAGGTTATGTTATTTAGAAATCCTTTTGCAACCCATTCAAGAATAAGCCTCATAGAATAAAAAGTGACTGAGGAAATTAGATTTACTAGTTTAATATAGGACCCTGTGTAACGGCTTATTGAAAATTCAGTATAGCATATAATCCTCAGATCATTTGACGATACACAGTATTACATATGTATGTGCCAATTAAGAGTTAAGTAGCAGTTTGTATAACATGTAGGTGATATATAATAATTCAAGAGATCATGAATAGCTTTAAATGAGAGATGGGAAGATTAGACCTTAAACTGAACATGTACAGTATCATCATCATGAAAGATCAATACTGCTTAGTGTTTGCTCTGTCACATTATTGTAGATTTAGACCATAAGAAAAGTGCTGCATAGTTCTGCACCTGTAGATGACTTCTAATGCTAACGTTTAATTGCTTTAATGTGTAAAATGTATATTTAAACTCTTAACAGTCCATTTAATCTTGATATATTAGAGGGAAAGTTAAGCAATCTGACCAGCTCTTTCCAAAAGCCTGCAGTAGTGATGTTGTGACATCTGTTGTGATGCTGCTCTTCTCTTTTCCCTTAACTGGCAGTGGGCATGACATCAGGTATGGCCTGAGAGTGCAGGATAATCACTGTTTCTTCAGGACTAGTTACGATTGCATGACTTTATTATAGAAAAAGGATAAATGAAATTAGATGTCAGAAGGTTGTAAGGACTGTTTTAACTTGTGCTATTGTAACTTTAAAGCTAGACTATATTTTAAAACTTAGGTCTTTAAGACTATGTATGGGATAAACCCTTATTCCTTGACAAGGAATAGGTACATGTAGAAATGAAAGTAGATGGGTAGGTATACTCCTGTTGATGAGCATGTTGACTTCCTGCTTTCTGCGTAGGAGTGTGCAGGACATAGGACTAAAATACTTATTAAAAAAAAAAACAAAACCTGTTCAAGTTATGAAAGTGCTGCTTCAGAGCGGTTTTGTTTCATGGAGAGGGAAAACCCATTTAGGCTTTGAGTAGATGAGAAATATACTAGAGCCAAAATACATATGTATAAAGAAAAAACCCAAAATAAATAAAACCCACCCTCCAGCTGAGCTGGGCTCCAAAGTGGCAGAGCACAAATTCTGTTAGTTTTAAAGTGCTTTTCAAGTCAGGTGGCGGTGTTTATCTTAGCCAGAAGGCTTTTAAGACTTACTGAGTCTTGGAATTTAAACAACCAACCTCAGGTCATGTAGCATAACAGTGTGGCATTTTCTGCTTAAATTTATGTTGCTGTTTTTTCTTAATGGTGATCCCACAATAAACAATATTGAGAAATGTGACTTAATGAATGTTCACTATAGGTGCTTAAAAATAGAAATTATCCCTGGAACTCTTAGATAAAACCAAAGGAACAAGTACAAAATGTGCCTTTGCACATAAGGAGAAGGGTATGGGAAAAATGGAAGAAGTTTCTACTTGCTTGAACTGCTTCACCCATTTTCTCCCCATTAGTTGATAGCAGAAGTGCTTGTTAAGGCACTGGAAAAGTGGACTTTGCTCTGGTCCTTCTCTTAAATGCACTTAGTTCCTCTCTAGAAAGCACGTCATTAGTAATGGTTAAATCACAGAGGGGAAAAATCTTGCTATTTATTTACCTGATGAGGGAGTTTTCTGAATAGTTGTAAACTTTGCAAGTATTATTGTGACTTTATGCTGACATTAGAAACAGTTGAATTGTTTGCTCATGGCATTTCTTCAAAAAAACTATTATAAGTAACACCCTCCCCCTTTCCCTGTACTTGGTTCCAGGGAATGCTAAAGAGAGGAGTGACTTGGCTTAGTTTTAAGTCTGGATCCAAGCATGTTGAATAACTTTGTCCCACGGGAGAATTAAAAAAAATGCAGCAGATGGCAGCAATGATGCATCAGACTTCCTATCCTTAAGAACAATGTATCTGCAGGCACTTTGAGGCTTCAGGTATTGGATAAGCTGGAGGGGGCAGGGTAGTCTTCCTCTTTTCTCACTTTGCAATTTCAAAGCAGACTTGCTGAGAGGGGATGTATTCCCTAGCCAATTCAGCAATCTTTTTTATGGTCAGAGGATTAGTGGTGAATAGGAAGTTTCCCCTGAAAGTTAGCCAATATGGTTCTTTCACGTATGCAAATCTGAGTCTGCCTATGGCATTTAAATTTATATGGCATTTAAGAATCTAAAACACATTATTTTTTTGTGATTCATTTGTCCTATAAGCAGAATACTTGTCTGGGGAGAAAAAGCTACATTGGCGGCCATATTACAGCTTTGCACTTTTTTGTGTTACACAGTATTTATAAAGAGAAGTAGGATAAGAAATGATTCAAAATAAATATTCAAATACCTTGCAAAAGCTTCAGAGAAGAGAATGGAAGCATTTCACACTGTATAAGGAAGAGAGATTCACCTCTAGTCTGTTTTATGCTGCTAAATGTGAACTCTACTATTACTGCAGGAGTGCTTCATAGTGACTGCAGTGCAGACTAAAGTGAAACATCTGAATTTCTAGAGTGCTTCTGCACTTCCTCAGTACTACCTTGTACTTGCAAGTTATTATCATAAGATTGTGAGCAGTCTGGGATAGCAAGTGCTTTTTTTTTCATGTTCTCTTCTACCTGATTTTAATCCAGCCTGGCCCTGCTTACTGTGGTTCAGTGCAGTGTCATTTTTTTTCCTCAGTCTTCAGGTTACAACAGGAAACAAAGTGCTTGCTTTTCTTTTGGTTCATTACTCTAAACAGATGTGAACTTAGTTTACCAACTAGATATGAATGAGTAAAAGAGGAACTGATGCTTAATTTACTTCTATGTTGATAGTAGTAGATTTTCTGTCAGAAGTAAAGTAAATGAAGGAGACTGAAGGGAAAAAGTGACTGTGGGCTTCTCTGGTAAAGATGGTAAAGATTGCCCCCCGCCCCCCCGCCTTGGAATTTTGGAAACAAAGCAGAAATCTTGCAGCGTGACAGTGACGGGGACCGTACAGACAACATAGATAAGACTGAATAATGTCTTAAGCCTTATGTAGGCTATGTGACTTGCCATGAAAGCAGCTGTAAAATAAGTCACAATGACAATCATGAAAAAAAAAAGTAATGATAGTGGAATATTAGAGCCTGGATCTCTGTGTTAAGCAGCCTTTACTCTGCAAGTATAGTTTACAATAGAAATTAAAATACATCTCTTACTAGTTAGTTGAAAGGCAACTGCTTTAATTAGCCTTAGTACCTCTATATACTACTGTATGAATACAATGAAGGCAAGTTGCCAGGCTATCTTAAAACTCTAGTTCAAGTACATCTTGATTAAACTTGCCATAAGGTGCACAACCAATTGAAAAATAGCACTCAGTTCAAGGTACAGCTGAAAGAACATTTGAAATAGAGTTCAAGGGTCTGTCTTGTCTTTCATGTGTGTTTTCAGTATCTTTTAAGTAACGCCGTAGAGTGGTGCTGTAGTGGTACAGTCTGCAAGCTCTCTGAAGGATGGGGTCCAAATGTGAAATAATAGCAATGGATTTGAGAGGAGGTCTGAGTGATGTAAGGTTATGTAAAGGCAAATAAGAACAACTCTGTTTAGAGCAGAAGAGATTGCTGGGTACTTCCAGCTTTTTTTACTGGGTTTTTATTTTTGAGGAAACAGAACCACTTTTTTAGCAAGTAAAGGGACTTACAGTAGTAGAAGTCTTCCAATATGTAAATACATGTGTAGAAAGATGTTCTTTGCCGTCATAAAGTCAGAAAGAAGTCTGTTTATATATAACAAAGAAAACTTACACTGGGGACAGACTTTTGGAAGAAGCAGCATTTAGTCAAACTACCTTTTAAATCTGTCTGAGTTTTTTTTGTAAAAGAATACACAAATTTTTTGGACATTAAGTATAATTAATCCTGACACAGTACCACGAGATTGCTAGATGATCGTGAGGCCCCTTCCAGTGCTGTAAGTCACTGAGGGATTATGTATTCTTTTTTTCATGCAGATAACGAATTAAAAAAAAGGCTTGGAACAGAATTAGCTTCTGATAACGTACAGTGACTGTTCAATGGAATACGTGAGGTCTTATCTATCTTTAGCCTGTTTTTCCTAAAGAAGTAATCTTGGTGTAGGTTCAGCTCTGGGGGAAGGGAGGACAAGGAGAAATTGGTCCAAAATGTGTTTGATCTAATAGCTTCCACTAGTTTAGTCTTCAAATCAGATTTAAACATGTGAAGCCAGACTGCATTTATCCTTGTATAGAAAGCGGGAGTTGTATTAAATATGAAGGCAAGCAGTTTTTTGGCACACATGGACATTGTGAAAGATGTCATTTAAATATTTTAATGATTTGGATGAAGGAAACTTCAGGAAATTAAACAATGGAAGTTCATAAGACTTGGTAATACTTGTAAACAGACTGTAATCTCATTAGGAGAATTATTTGGCTTGAAAATTACAGTGCATATGATGAAATACTAAAACATTGCTCCGCAACTGGGATTTGGACTTTGAGTGGCAATGACATATGAACCCCTGCATGGTTTTAAAGTGTGCTATTTTTGGCAGCTGGGTGTTGGCTTGTCTCCTCAGTAGCAGCAGAAAGTTAGTTTAGTGTATAGAGGAAGGTGATTTGCAATGAGAAGACTCCTCTGACACTACTTATTGAACATGGGCTGCTGCTTCAGTAAAGAATTGAGTAACAGCACGAATGAGGAGAAAACCGGCTTGTTACAAAAATCTGTGGAAGAGGAAGCACCAGAGTCAAGGATAAGTAAAACTTCATCTTCAATTTTAGGAACTGTGGAAAGCCAGGATCTGCATACAGTGGGAAGGACGGTTAATGGGGCAGCTGCGATAGTCAGCATTGAATGCGTTCGTAGTGATGATTACATAGCGTCAAATTCTAAATTTGGGTTCTGGGATAGAAAAGCAAAATATCCGTCGTACAAAAGCGTGGAGAATGCTCCACATGAGAGCTCTAGGAGAGCGTATGACAGACCTTTTAGCTTCTTTAATTCCTTTAGTCACCTCCTGAAGGTCTCTGGTACATATGGAAATGTGCAGAAAAGTGAAGAAAAGAAAGATAGGGTTATTAAAAAAAGAGTACCTAAAAAATCTAATAGTAATGGTCAGCACATGAACAATACAGAAAATATTAATAGTAAAATTAAAAATGAAAATGTAGCTGTAGAAGAGCATTGCTTGTTTGATCATATTTCTACTTCACATGTACCAGACATCCTAGACAAAGGCTTACGGGGTGAAATTTCCTTAAATAGAAATTTTCTGGAGGATTATGCAGTTACGTGTGACTATTCAAGGCAGAATGAAACAACAGTACACGTTGAAGACAGCGAGAGTGACAGCCTACAAAAGGTTTCAAGTTCACATAGAGAGATGTCTCCAACATTTTCCTGTCTTGATGTAGACGACAGGCAAAATACAAAAGATAGGGAGTTTTACAGTATTTGTGTTGTAGATGCTGAAGATCTGAGAGGGGATGAAGAGGTGCCAGCTACTGCGCATGAAGAGGCTGCAGCAGACGTAGATAACTCAGCTGTTACCGATGAACGAATGTGCAGCATGGCACGACCTCTAGACACTGGGGAGGAATTTCCAATGCAGCAGTCGGCACAAGTGGAAGCTAAGTTTAATTCACAGAAAGAACTGTTTGAGTATAAAAAAGAGGATAGGTCAAACATGCAGAAAAAGGAAACAAAGGAATATTGTAACATAGACATCCAGTCTTCTTATGATAACTTACTGGCTAACAGGTGTCAGGTGCGTAGGTTAAATACTGACAATACAGTAACAGATGGCTTAAGAGCGAAAGTATATGATGAAGTCGTCCCTGAGAATCGACAAGAGGAGGTATATACCATAGGTAATGCTGTCAGTTGGAATGAATCACTCCATAGAGCTTGTGATTCTGTAAAATTTGTAGATGCTGCTGAAGAGGACCAATACAGCCCTAATTCAGAAAACATGAAACACAGTGGTTGTATTTCCAGTGTATTGTTAAACACTGGAATATGTAATTCAGGAAAAATTGAGGGAAGTCATGATTCTGAGATTGTACCATTTGGTTTAAATAGACATCCCTCAAGTGTTGTAAGGGAAATAAATATTAAACAGATGGCAGAGAACATGAGGGGTAACTTCAAATTATCATTAGAGTTACATGAAATGGGCAATGATTCTTTTTTGGTGAGTCAACGTGTAGAAAAACTTGCTGAAGAAGGCTACTTCCTAAACCCAGAAAGTGAAGTAAACTCAAATCTGGAAAAGAGAACATTTCAAAGAACGTATGGTGATAGCCAAACATTTGCACCTGACTCCAGTGAACATCACAGTGTGTTGGAAGGATTCTTGAAAGATAAAGAGAAATGCACAGGTATAGTTTTGCATAGCTGTGAAGCTTTGAATGTGACTGAAATGCACGAAAACTTGGAAGAAAGTTCTGATTTCCAAACTCAAATTAAGGGTTGCACTGAAAACAAGACATCAACTGAAGTTGCAAACCATAGTGGCATGGAGGAAGATGTCTGTGTGAGTATCATTGAGCTGAAAGGCGACATGCTTGAGGAAGCTGGTTGCTTGAGTGGAACTCGATCATGGGTAAGTGGTGGCACTTTGACATCTCATGAACTACGTAACACAAGTGCAGATGAAATGTTCCTAAAGAAAAACAGCCTAGAATCTCAGATTTCACAAGAGTCATCAGGGAATAAAGGTAAAGTATGCAAATATTCAAATTCAGATAACAAAAATGGTGTCTCTTCTGTGTCTATGGAATGTGAGGATATGAATAAAATGGACATGAACTGTAGACAAGCTGAGGAACACGATGTATGTTCCTTCTGTGCAGTGAAAAATCAATGGAATGCAGGGACTGACTCAGCCACAATAGCTGGGGATATACTAGAATCTGTAAAACAGGCAAAATCTGAAGGTCACCTAAACGAGACAATTGATAACAAGGCAGAAAATGTAAAACAGAATTTGGATGCTAACATTGTTGATCATGATAAAAACATCTTAAATTGCAATAAAGGCTTGACTCAGGATCAGAATACTTACTCTAACTCCACTGTACCTGTAGCTTTGGACAATTGTATGTACAAGAGTGTAAAATTGATAGATGACACTAAAAATCTGAAAGATGCCAGTAATCTCTTACATAAAGCCCGTAATTGTTTACCTTCATTGTGTCAAAATTCATATTCTCACGTGCATAATAAACCAGTGGAAGAGCCTGAGTTATGTCACTGTGCCAGTCCAGAGCCAGAGGTCGGGAACACCCAAGTTTCTCTTGGGCCTTTTACTGAAGTAGGATCAGAAACTCATGAAAAAAGTATGTGTGATGTAAATGAATGTAACCTTCGGGATGGTGAAGTAAAACAGTGTGTCAGCATCCACTCAAAGGAGGAGAACCTCACTGGTTTTAGTATGACAGCTGGCAATCTAGAAGCTTTTACCATGGGGAATTTAAAGCAGTTAGAAGCCAAGACTACTGAACTGAAAAACACCAGTTACATATTAAATACTCAAATGAATGACTTGACCACAAGTTGGGAACAGATGCAGTCAGATCACAAGATTTTTTCAAACAAAGAGCTTGGAGTTTTTGTTGACCCAAAGCAGGTAGACAAATACGCTGCTACTCCTTCCTATGAAATACACAGTGCCTCTCCTGGTGCCGCAGGATTTCAGCGAGGCAGTGAGCGGTGTGTATTAGATCTGATGCAAGACGTATCAAGTGACCAAGAGCACTCCTATGAACTGGACAGACAAACTCCCCAAGTTGAAATATGGTCGCATTTCATTAGTCTTCAGACTGGCAATGCTGAATGGACAAATCAGCTATTTTCTGACACCGTCAGTGCTGGTAATGGTGAATATCTGATGAGCTTTTTATGGAATAATACAATTTCTAACACTACCGTGAAGAATGACAGACTATGTATAGTTAGTGAAAACTTCCAGGATGAACCTGAAGATTTAACAGGTGCTTCATATGCAGTGGGAAGATACCCGTATCAGCTGCTAGCACCAGAAAACTTTGGTACTTGGGGATGGCAAGATAAAAATGAACTTGTAAGTATTCTGCAGAAGTGATTTGATGTTAAAGCTTAAGGCCAAAGCTAGGAATTGGAATAAGCCAAGTCAAACTGTGGTTTCATTAGATAGTTAACTGTATCATATGCTGTTTTGTCCTGAAGCTGACCACTCTCTCTTTCCTTTGCAAAACCAAATGCTATACAGAATGTAGTAGTTCAAAATGTTGCTGAATATTGACTTTTTTTTTCTTTTTGGTTTTGTTTACCTTGTGTGAAAGTTTAAACGTTGGGCAAAGTATCTTGACTGCAGATTCTCAATTCTAGATGAACTTGAGATGAACACTTCAGTATGTGGAAGGGAAACTTTAAACAGGCTGTTAATAGTGCTCTTTACCTTCATATAGGAAGAAATGTTTGTGGATATCCTGAAATCTTAAAGTTCTTGCTTGGTAGCGATTAGGAAACCTTTTGCTCACTTCCGGAGATGGTCTTCTGAAGTGCTGTAGAAAGGAGTGGCTGCAGGAGAAGCGTGGGGAATGAGCTAGCCTGGATCTTGGCTAGCTGGGGTAAGAAAGAAACAAAGCCGACCTGTGGCAGCTACTGCTCCTCTTCCTTCCCCGCTGAGCAGAGTCAGCGCTTAGTATTGTTCTCCGCACCGACTGCGTTACAGCAGCTGCTCTGACCTTGCCCAGCAGTTGCAGTGCCGGCAGTGGATTGTACTAGAAGCTAAGTTTGCTATGTCCTGGGGGAAGTTTTTGTATTAAAAATGGAAACTGATGGAACTTGCTGTCATCTTTGAATCCTTACTATTCAAGTAGTTATGTCGAACACTTCCACTTATTGTGTCTTTTCTCTGTCATTCAGTAGATGTGTTTAAGTTGAGATTCCTTAGATCTTTTTACCTTCTAGATGTGTTTTCTGTGCACTATGATAATGACTGAGTGCACACGTTTCAGAGTAGTTAAAGCTTCATGGAATTCTGAAGTGCCTGTCTTAAACTCTATAATGTTCCTAGCATCCTTAAATTCACAAAACAAATTTTAATAAGCTTTTTTAGTATGTGCTATCATGAGCAATACTCTTTCCCAGTATAATCATCATATTAAAACACACCAAAGATTAAGTTATTCCATACCCAGAATACATGTTTTGCTCAAACATTAGTTAAACGAGAAAACTGTCTCATGTTACTATCAAAGTATCATAGATGCTGGCACTGCAGAGACCAGTCTTTCTGAAGTGCAAATATAATCATTTATATGATGGTTATATATAACCATATATGACCATTAAATGTGTCCATTTCCAATCCAGGTTAAAGGAGATTGGCCTAAGATGGTTTAACTGGATCTGGTAATTCATTCTTTTTGTCCTGCCTAGGGGAAAACTAACCTAAATTTTTGTTAATGCTCTGTTTTTTCTCTTGAAGTAATGACAGAAGTTGTTACGCACACCTCATTGCTTTCAATTTTCCATAATGCTTCCTTAAAACTGTTACATTTTTATATAAGTCCCCCCAAAAAAACCCTGTGCTTTTGTATTTTCTCAAATTTTTTATGTTATTTCGCAGAAACAGATAATATAATCAACATTGAGTTAAATGTGTATTTGAGAACTGCCTGAAGTCTAGGGCAAGTACAGGTTGAGTTAGTCTGTCAAAGGTGAAGAATGAAATGTTTGTTGTAGTTTGCTCTGCTTGGCTAGCCTTTTCTGGTGATTCTTAATCAGGGAAATGAATTCTGTGCTGCACAATTCAGTCGTTTTTGTACCTGAAACGATCATGGGATGGCAATTCAGTTAATACATTCCAATGTGAAAAAAACTTGACAATACAATCTTGAGTTGTACATCTGATACTGTTATTTAAACTGTTCGTATGTACGCACAGATGCGTGCTGTGCATCCACAAAGTGCATAATCAAAGAAATTTCTTTTTGTAGGAGTCAACCAAGGTTTCTGAGTTAAATCCTAATGCAAAGGTGTGGGGAAATCATATGTTACACTTGGAAGCAAGTGGTGCCACTGATGGTAGCGTGAGCAAAACGTGGGAAGAAATACCTGACCAACCTCCAGATTCTTGTAAAGAAGGTATGAGTAAGAATTTCTAGATGTTGCTTAAGCAAAAGGTAAAATTCAGTGCAGAACTTTCTCAATTTTAATTTCCTGTTAAAAAAATGAATGCAAATATGTAAGCAACTTTGCTTCAGATTTAGTTTTAATTATGAAGTTACTGTGATTAGAAGGAATGCTTTTTGAGTGTGTTTGTCATCTCTGCTGCAGGACTGGATGCCAATGGTGATGGCGACAAAAAGCATCAGAATGCAGTGCTGACAGAGCTGCCGGAGCCGTCACCAGCTGTTTCGGTGTCAGACCAGACAGATATGAACCCTTTGGCTCTCGATCATTCTGAGTATGAGTCTATGCATGAAAGCACCCAGACAGGTAAGAGAAAGCTGATACTTGGTTGGACTTGGTTTAAAAAAAGAAAACATATTTTTAGTTGAACAGTGGGCATCCATTAAAAAAAAAAAAAAAAGGAAACGCCCCCACTAAACAAACCCCAAACCAAAAAAAAAAAAACACCACTTTTGTTCTTCAATATATGCATTCTGTAAACAGACCCCAGAAAATCCTGTCTCTTTTGCTCTCAGGCTTAGACATATTTGGAAACCAGTCTCCTCCTGTTTGAATATAGGCCTTATGAGATACTGCACAGAATCGATCATAAGTTCTGGATATAACTGAGTATTGTTTTCTGAAATGTTATTCTGAATGCAAGTCCCTAGTGTAGGCGTTTACATTTAGATACCTACCTGTCTAAGCTGCATGTTTCTAGTTGGGCCCCAGGTACTGAGGTGAAATTCACATGCCATTTGTGTCTCAAGTAGTAATGTTAATGTGTTGAAAGATCAGTCCTGTACTTAAAATGCTAAAACAAGCAACAATTTCGTCTAACTTCTTTGCATTCTTTTTTAATGAACTCTCATGATTTTTAACAGTGCAACTGTTAGTAGCTGTAGTCTATACCAGATGGCATGTTTTAAGAAACTTGTGGAAATTAGCATAGAGATTCAGCCATGCTTGTATTTCACTGAAAGGGGCAGAAGGTCTGCAAGGTGCATGTAGGATTACTGCTTGAACTGAGATGAGGGATGGGAAAGAGAGGAAGATGTGCTGAGTGTTTCTTGAGATTCATGAGAGGTCTGCTCCTTGTTCATTGTGCTTAGCTAATTTTATAACATGTATTTAAAATGACCAGTATAGCATCCATAATTAGTTGGAAATCAAGACAATTGAAATCAGACACAGTTGTGGCATCATCCTTGCTTGTGTTGAAAACTGAAAGTTCTCTTTGATCCTTCTACTTAAAGGTACTATTGGGGAATATTAAATAATAACTAACTGGCAAATAGAAAATTATATTAATGGTGCCTCGCACTCTAGAAGGGAACAGTGTTCATCAGCTTAGTGTTAGAACTTGTCAGCACGTCCTTTAGGTGCCCAAAATAGTTAACTTTTAACAAGAGTCAAACAGTGTTGCAAAGCAGCTGAACAGCAGGAGGGATCTATTCATCTGATGAATAGTAATATAGGTAGTCCCAACTCTGAAATCCGATTTTTATTTTTTTAATTATTATTTTAAAAGATGCATATAACTTTGGTCTCTGCTAGGTTTTAGGCAAGGAAGAAAGAGGAGATGGGAAGGGGACATAGTGGTTAGTACGATATGTGTATTTCTCAGGTGTTGGTATTATCTACATCAGAATAGAACACGTGAAGGACAAAACGGTGGGAGGAAATTAGAAGTTGCTTTAGGAAGAAGAAAGGTTAAGGAGAGCTGAAGAAAAGGATGAAAGTTACTGAAGAAGGGTATAGAGGGTAATAGTTGGTGTGAAATACTTCTTAAAAAAACTAATTTACATTTATGTAACATGTTACTAAATGTTTTGTAAATCTCTAAACACCACACTAATCTTGTGATCTTTAAACAGTTTTCCCACTGACGCAATTAGTTTACCCTCAACTGACTGTAGGATATTGAGTCTAAACTAAAATGAACATGAAATTAGTGTTTTCCATGTGATAATTTTGAAACTTCCAAGTAGAAGAAAAAAATTACTTTCTCTTCCTTAACCAAGAGATTGTTAATTGATCACACATCTGTTGTTAATTGATTGGATATCTGCTGATATTTCATAACTATGTTTTTGAAACTCTTTTCTGAATTAGTGTGTTGGGAATTTAGAGTGAGGCCAGAAGTACAAAGTGCCTCCATTACATTGCTTGCTTGCTATATTAGTCAGCTGCATTAGTCAGGGTTTAGTCAGCTAGAAATTGGTTAGTTTCCTAAGACTGGAAGACGGATATACCAGCTAAATCAGTTCAGTATTTACTTTGAGATGTGTTTGTAGCTGCTTTTCTGAAACTGCTTCAAATTTTTATGTATTTGGAGAACAGAGGTTAACAAGTGAAGTCAGATACGGTTTTTCTTTTTTGTCTTAACAAGTGTTCCTGTGCAATTTTGGTGGGTGGTGAATTAAGGCACAATGAACATTTATTGAATTTGAAAATTTGTTACTAGTTATACAGCCAGTGATAGACATGATGGCTTGATTAAAATATCTATTGTGTAATATAGCAGAACTAAATTTAAACTTAAGTATTTTAATTATTAGGTGGAAACGAACAGTTGCAGCCAGAAGGTCAGGAAGATTTACGAGAATTACTGAAAAAAACACTGGAATTCTGCTTATCTAGGTATGTATATACCTAAATGTAGCAAACTGGAGGATAACTAACAAGATCCAGTACCTAACTTGGGATGTATGTTAATATATTTCACAGCTGTCACTTAAAACTGAGTGGAAAGGATGAGAATTTGGGGGAAGTAACACACAAATTCCAGAGTATCGTATTGATGTACCTCTTAAAGCTTATGTGAAACTTCTGGGCCTAAAACAAACTAGCAAATATATTGTTTTGAAGTGAGAGTAGTTAAAAGCAATTACAGATCAGGTGAATTTTTTTATGACTGTTACTGGTTTTTTTCAAATTAAAACTGAGTAGGTTAAGCTATTTGGTAAGCTTTGTTTAAAAGATGCATATAACTTTGGTCTCTGCTAGGTTTTAGGCAAGGAAGAAAGAGGAGATGGGAAGGGGACATAGTGGTTAGTACGATATGTGTATTTCTCAGGTGTTGGTATTATCTACATCAGAATAGAACACGTGAAGGACAAAACGGTGGGAGGAAATTAGAAGTTGCTTTAGGAAGAAGAAAGGTTAAGGAGAGCTGAAGAAAAGGATGAAAGTTACTGAAGAAGGGTATAGAGGGTAATAGTTGGTGTGAAATACTTCTTAAAAAAACTAATTTACATTTATGTAACATGTTACTAAATGTTTTGTAAATCTCTAAACACCACACTAATCTTGTGATCTTTAAACAGTTTTCCCACTGACGCAATTAGTTTACCCTCAACTGACTGTAGGATATTGAGTCTAAACTAAAATGAACATGAAATTAGTGTTTTCCATGTGATAATTTTGAAACTTCCAAGTAGAAGAAAAAAATTACTTTCTCTTCCTTAACCAAGAGATTGTTAATTGATCACACATCTGTTGTTAATTGATTGGATATCTGCTGATATTTCATAACTATGTTTTTGAAACTCTTTTCTGAATTAGTGTGTTGGGAATTTAGAGTGAGGCCAGAAGTACAAAGTGCCTCCATTACATTGCTTGCTTGCTATATTAGTCAGCTGCATTAGTCAGGGTTTAGTCAGCTAGAAATTGGTTAGTTTCCTAAGACTGGAAGACGGATATACCAGCTAAATCAGTTCAGTATTTACTTTGAGATGTGTTTGTAGCTGCTTTTCTGAAACTGCTTCAAATTTTTATGTATTTGGAGAACAGAGGTTAACAAGTGAAGTCAGATACGGTTTTTCTTTTTTGTCTTAACAAGTGTTCCTGTGCAATTTTGGTGGGTGGTGAATTAAGGCACAATGAACATTTATTGAATTTGAAAATTTGTTACTAGTTATACAGCCAGTGATAGACATGATGGCTTGATTAAAATATCTATTGTGTAATATAGCAGAACTAAATTTAAACTTAAGTATTTTAATTATTAGGTGGAAACGAACAGTTGCAGCCAGAAGGTCAGGAAGATTTACGAGAATTACTGAAAAAAACACTGGAATTCTGCTTATCTAGGTATGTATATACCTAAATGTAGCAAACTGGAGGATAACTAACAAGATCCAGTACCTAACTTGGGATGTATGTTAATATATTTCACAGCTGTCACTTAAAACTGAGTGGAAAGGATGAGAATTTGGGGGAAGTAACACACAAATTCCAGAGTATCGTATTGATGTACCTCTTAAAGCTTATGTGAAACTTCTGGGCCTAAAACAAACTAGCAAATATATTGTTTTGAAGTGAGAGTAGTTAAAAGCAATTACAGATCAGGTGAATTTTTTTATGACTGTTACTGGTTTTTTTCAAATTTTAAAACTGAAGGTTAAGCCATTTGGTAAGCTTTGTTTAAGCTAATAGTTTTAAAATTTGCATTGATACAAACTAGTATTTTTGTATGTGCATTTGTAGATCCCTTTATACTTTAAGGATTAATTTAAAAAAAGAAAAAAAACCAAAAAATTAAGGAATCTGAATCATACACATTCCAGTATAGAATGATGCAAGATCATCAGAGCAGTTTACTTGTACTTAATTATTCTCAGTGCTTGTGTCTAGATAAAAACATCCTAAACACGTCTTAATAGCCTAGAACAATTCCTAATCTGTATACTCCTGCATAACCAGTTAGAGTCAGTGGTCATTTGGAGTAATAAACTCCTAACAATATTACATGTTTGTGGGGGTAATGTACTGCCTGAACAGGAAGATGCCAATACTGTTGCATGAAGGAAAAAAAAGACACTTTCATGTTTTCTAGGAAGTGAAATATAGTGGGTGAATGGACTGGGGAGTTGGTGAAATGCTGAAAACAAAATTTAGAATCTGTAGAAGGCAGATTCTTATGTGATGAGTTTTTGTCTCAAGTTTATTGGCAAAAGTTACATCTGTGACATTTCCCCCTTTTTTTTTTTCTCCCAACAGAGAAAATCTTGCCAGTGACATGTACCTTATATCACAGATGGACAGTGATCAGTATGTGCCAATAATGACAGTAGCAAACCTTGATCATGTCAAGAAACTCAGTACTGATATGGATTTGATTGTTGAAGTGCTGAGATGTAAGTAAAAATCCTTCGATGCTAGAAAGCATTTTGGTTATTGCCGTAGGACTGTTAATCCAGATTTTCACTCTCTCTTCCTTCTTTTGTTATGTATCGCAATAAAATGCCATCCTTTTTCTGTAAAGCACTAAATAGAGCAAGCAGCTTCCAGTTTAGACCATCACAATTATAGGACTGCAGTTTTATCAAAGCTACTTCACACTTGAGGTATTGAGTAATGATCTGTGAGTTCAAATTCTCAGAAAAGGCTACTGGACGTTACCACTAAGGTAAGAATCAAAAAAAGAGCATGACTCAGTATGTGCCTTAGATGAAAAAGCTAATGAATTGGGATATTCTAGGCTGGAAGAGTAGGAAGAGTGTGGAGATTTTAAGGAACATGTCTACTCAGTTTCATATGTCTGAAAGTATCCTCAGTCATCTTCTTGGTTTTTAATGTTCAAAAATATTTTAAGTTTAGCACAAAAAGCTTTGCATTGTAAAACTGTCCACAGCATCTTTCGGTGTTGCAAAGCTATTATGATTGCTGACAGCTGAAGTACATTTTTGTCTTTTCTCTCTTAGCGTTGCCTTTAGTCCAAGTGGATGAGAAGGGAGAAAAAGTTAGGCCAAATCAGAATCGCTGTATTGTGATTTTACGTGAAGTACCTGAATCTACCCCCATTGAAGTAAGTGTTTAATTGTTCGGTAAAGAATGCTTTTCCCTTAGGATTTGGAAGTTAGACTTCTTCCAGATTTCAATAAGTATATCACATTTCTTACTACATTGTTAGTTAATGTCTCACAACGTTTCTAAACCTGAGTTTATTGCGTGTGTTTGGATAATAAATATATTTGATAGAAGCACGTCACTCATGGGAAGACTGTGGTAAAACCTGTAGCTCTGCAGAGGGATGAAAAACTGACAATGCTGTGTTTGGTAGAGACACCATAATTGTCTTGGACTCTGGCTTATCTATACGCACTTAGTGCTCAGCTCTTTGGATAAATAGCAAACAAAGATGAGGGAAGGTAAGTCTTAGAATGGAAAATGCCACTGCTGCACCTTGAAGCTTGTTAGGGTAAAGTACTTAAAGCTTTGCAAACATTTCCATAATGCTGAGGGTAGAGGTGTCAACAAGTTGCTAAGGATCTCTGCTGGCTTGTGGAATGAGTGCGAGAGCGGAGAATTTGATTGTTTGAAAGACATTCAATGCAACTCTGATGTAGCTGGGACTATGACTAATGGAAAGACTAGAAAAAAATGTTTGGGCCATAGATTAAACCATCTTGAATTTTCAAAAAGGAGGAGAAGGCACAGATTCTTGATGATGGGGAGATATTTTAATTTCCCCTCTATTTAATTTTACAAGGAAGAATAAAGATTCTAAAAGAGTTGCTGCTCTTAATAGTCTTCATACAAAAATAAAAAGTACTGCAGATTAAAAATTATAATAGAGGTAAGTGGCCTTAGTAAACAGAAGCATGAAACAATGCTAAAAGGAATTGGAGGGAAGAGGTTAGATATGCTATACACATAGCTTAAAAATATGAGCTGCGTTTAGCTTTCTAAATGAAATGTAACCTTTCAAAGACTGCCTAGCTTTTAATATTATCGTTTGGGGTTTTTTCCCCTGTTATCAGTTTGTCGGGTTGGATATATTAGTACTGGGTGGTCACTCTTAAATGCTTAACAACAACAAAGTTCTGAGGAGTCTTTATTTTCAAAAGAGGTGGTCCGAAGTGAAGTGTTTTATACATTATGTGTTTACATTTGCCAGACTGGAAAATCTATACTTAACCCGACAGATTTAATAGGATACATTTTTCTGGCGTAGCATGGTCAGCAAAGTTACAAAATACTGTAAGGCCTCCCAAGTTGCATTGCTTTTTGATGCTGCTGGCCTCAACTCTGTGACAAAAATAAATAATATGTAAATGGATTAAAACAAATATAAAGTCCAAGGTGTTTTTTCTGTCAAAACTAGCTGATTGTTTTTGAGGTAACATAAACCCTGTTTCAAATATATTAATCTGTAGACACTTGAGTTAAAGGGTATCTCCAGGTTTCTGCTGAAAGGGCAGGGTTTTCCTATCCCGTGCAGTATGCAGGGGTTTTCGTGTGGCACCATCGTTTTGGAGACAGGGGAGAAATAGACATTTTTCTGCACTTGATGCCAATTTTAAGTGTGTGTCTATGGCCTAAATAGCTTATCTCCCCTGAATTAAAGGGAGCATGCAACTTCTACTTGCAGTATGGCCTTAGATGATGCTTGTTTGAATTCCTTCTAGCTAGCGGGGAGATTGGAGAGAGTTAACGCTACTGCAGGTGTTCTGAAGTTCTCCGTTCTGTTTTGTACGTCTGAAAGTGCTTTTTATCTTTCTTACCTGGGGTTCCAGAGTTGTGCACTTTAAATTGATGTTTTCTTCTGTCCATCTGTTTGTTTTTTTTTCTCCCACCCTTTTCTCTCCTTCTTATCAAAACCACTTTCCTTAGGAGGTTGAAGCACTTTTCAAAGGAGATAATTTGCCTAAGTTTATCAACTGTGAGTTTGCCTATAATGACAATTGGTTCATCACGTTTGAATCAGAAGCTGATGCACAGCAGGTAACACTATTTTTTTGAAGCATTTTAGAATATAACAATAAACAAGGATGGGATGAGGGTGGATTGACGGGTTGTAAACTGTATTACAAATGTGTAACAATTTCAAAAGAAAAATACCCAAACCTCTCAAACCAGTAATGCTTCCACTTAGCTAATATCCTGTTATCAGTACTACTAAACATAACCCTCTAAGAGTTTTATCTTGCTTGCATATCCTGGCTTCCTGGCCAAAGCTATAATTTTTTGTACTAAGAACATTGGTATTTTGGATGACACATTGAAATGCTTCAATCGTAAGAATTTAAATCTTGTTTTAATCCTACTGGAGCATTTCTGCAATAACAACTTAAATCTTGCCAAATGCAGATTACATATGAGGGGTTTTCTTTAATCCAACATTAGCAGACACTTCAAGAATTATTGTTAGGCTTAGCCTGTCAAAACTTAAGTTTCCTTTGTTTAAATTATATTTGATAAATTTTATAATTACTTTTTTAAAGGCTTACAGATACCTTAGAGAAGAAGTGAAAACTTTCCAAGGAAAACCGATTAAGGTAAATAGAGCTTTATGGGTTTTTTGGGGCATGTGTGTATATGTTCTGTTTTTTGTGGGACTCGCTGTGTGTTCTAATATAAATTTAAGTTGTCCAATCTCAGCAGCCATTTGACCAGGAGATGGGTTTTGAAATGTAGCACATGCCATTTTACTTCCCCTTTTCCTCCTTTCTGGCAGCAGTATATCCATTCCAGCATCAGGCCAGCAGGGAAGCGTTCAGCTGTTCTGCCTTCCTTGAAGGAGAAAGCAAGTGACTGACAAGTGTCCAGTAAAAGTTTGAGAGCTGCTAGTTTGAACCATCCTGATTTAATTTGAAAGGCTGCTGTAATAAATAATCTAATCTCCTTTGCAGGCAAGGATAAAAGCAAAGGCAATAGCTATAAACACATTTTTGCCAAAGAATGGATATAGACCTCTGGATATGAACCTCTACACGCAGCAGCGTTACACAACATCCTTTTACTTACCTCCAGTATACAGTCCCCATCAGCAGTTTCCATTGTACAGCTTAATTGGCCCACAGACCTGGTCAGCCACGCACAGCTACCTTGACCCTTCGTTGGTAAGTCTCTTGATTATGAAACAGTTGCATTCTTTTCAAAGTTGGTATTCTTTTCTTATGAAGTCTTGGGGTGTAGGAAGCATATGTATCCTGAAGAGGGGGGTTTAAGATACTGATTCTTCTTGAAAAACAGTTCTTCAAAATTCTTCCTGTGGTGTACAAGATTAATTTGAAAATTGCATCTGGTGTCAGACTGCAGTGTGATTCTCTTCTTAACCTTTTAGTTTTTGAGGCAATTCTTTACTAAAGATTATTAATTAACCATTACCAAAAGAAGACTTTTTAGTAATGGTTAAAAGCCTCTTTAGAAATTAGATCTTCAGAATATGTACGTAAATACCAGAAAAAGCAATTCTGATATGTACTGAATAAACAATGGAATCAGATAAATAAGGATAACTTAGTATCTTGATCTTCCAGCAGCAAAATAAGTTCTAGGTTAACATGCTGAATTACCCTATTCGGCATGTTCTTAAAGCAAAATATTTTCTGTGCAAAAGTGACATCCTTTTTGGCAATAATAAATAAAATTACTTTTGCTAATTAAAAAAAAATTCACTTTTAAATTGCTTAATTTTTAAAATTTTCTTAAAGGAGCTATTGGTAAGCCTTAGAGCTAGGGTGGTAGCAATAAGTCCTTATATACTCCAGTAGGATATCCGCTGCATCCTGCAATGTTGCTTCCATCTTCTCCTCCATTGTGACAGTCCCATCAGAATTACCTTGACCCCTTGTAGTCTGCCTTTGTTATCCTACAAAAACTAATATGAATATAGTTTTCTGTAATGACTGGGAGACTAAGGTTGTCCTATGTGGAACCTCTTTCTCCCCTCTGTAAATGCTTCTTTACTTGTGGCTAAAAGAAACTAGGGTAGCAATGCTCAAAATCAGAAGCTTTTTAGAGGGTTTTTTGGCAGAGGATTAAAGTGTCCTTGAACAAACTTGAGCAAACTTCTGTGTACTGAACAGCAAGCTAATTAAAAAGTTGGTGTGCTAAACACTGCACACACAGGGAAGGTAGCCAGAGCCCTTGCAGGGGAAGGCTTTTTAAGGGAGATGAAGAATGTGGAGGAGACAAGGTAGCATAGTGAACAATGTTATTCCAGGAGAAAGCCACCTTATTAAGCAGCAGTGAAGTGATTCTTCCTCTAGATAAACCAAGACTGACTATTGCACAGTCTTGCTGTGGCATAGTGAAGTAGTTGGATGGCACTGGTGTAGATGATGTAGATTAATTGGCCACAGGTTCAAGCACAGCATAGTGTGTATCTGCCTTATGTCATCCTGGAACTTTTTGTATTCCAGAAAGCTTACTAGTCCTGGTCTTTGGGGGAAGACATTACAAGTTTGCCAGCATTAAAGATCTCATACCTTTCTTAGTGAAAACAGAAAATTAACTGACAGAGTTTTGCCTCCCACTGTTTTGCAGCATATTGTCATTAGTTAGCTGCATTTTGCGTACATTAGTGTAATATGATGTTTCTTGAACCTTTTATAGGAAGAGCTCTATTTGAATAGAAATGACTTGTGAGGAGAACAGGGACCACGAGGAACGATGACACAGGACTAATTTTCGTGAGACAGGGTTGCAGTTTGCATGTAGAGACTTGTGTGCAAATATAGCAGAAGCTTTTCTCCTCTTCTGCTTTGGCATAAACACTAACTGCTTTGTCTCATCTCTAATTTGAGATTGAATACACCCAGTAGTGTGGGCATACAGTTTTAGTTCTGAAACTAGAATATGGCAACACATGTCCTCAAAATTGTAAAACTACCTACTTCTTCATCAAGTACTTAATAGTATTTAAGAAAAGATCTAGTTTGTCCTGCTTGTTTAAAAAAAAAAAGTGTACTTTTGATGAGCTTTTTGATGACTTCTGTGGAGAAAGCAAAGCTTTTGGTATTATTGGAAAACAAAAATTTCCCTCCAAAAAGGTCACCCATCCTTGTAAAGAAAGAAGGGTGGAATATTGTTAGTGTCCCTTTAAGCAATGAGTTAAACTTGTTTTCCTTTAGTATGTTCAATGTCTTCTCATTATTCAGGTTCAGTAGTTGCTTACTAGCTTTGATTGAATTTTACAGCATTCAAGTTGTAACCATTAAAGCAGAAAGCACTTCAAAGCAGTATTTGAATGAAAATTTGTTCTTAAAATAGCTTTATTAAACTCCTGATGGACTATTTTTGGAGTCTGAGGTAGCATTTGCTGTCATGTGTGCTAGATTAGGCCAACAGTACTTTGGCATGACAGCTTTGGTGTTAAGTTTTTTTCATTTTAATTTTAATTTTTCATTGATTAGTGATTTGCTTTAACTTTTGCAAGAAAGGTTAGACAAGCTTAAAGATACCTTTATAGGAAACAGTCTTAATCCCAGCTGTTTCTCATAATTTCATTAAGTGTAGAAAGAGTGCTACATAGAAGTCTTACTGTTCTGCATTGTAGTTATTTTCAGGGGGAGAAGACAAGCAAGCATTTGCTGTTGCTAATAAATACATTTCCTAAATGAAACTCATTCATACATTCAAACAAAAAAAGAAAAAAGTGTGCTAGTGAGGTTGGAGAAATTACCATGAACATGCTTCAAGTTTTGAGATACCTTGTTAATACAAGACATTGATATGCACCCACCCCAAAAAATCTCTTGCTAATTTTGCTTCTTCGGGCAACAAGACAGTAATTCACATGTAGAATAAGGTGGTAAGATGTGAAAAGAATCAGAGGTCCACTTAACATCCGCTTATTCTCTAGGCTTTATTTAGGTGTCATGTGGAAGATAAGTAGAATGAGGAACTAAAAAGAATTATTTTTTTTTTCTTTTTAGGGAGGGATTCACATACAAATTATAAGAAAAACAATTATAGGCTGTGTAGGTTAGAGACTCTGACGAAGAAGTATCTCTGTACTCTGAAGTCATGCATAGTATGGTGTGAAATAGAAGGAGTGTTACTTAACTTATGGCTAAGAATTTTGGCTCGATGTTTTTCAGTCCTCTTAACAAATTATCAGAACTTGAATATGTGTGGTGGCTGTCTTCTCAAAAAAACTTTTGTAAGTTGGTTACAAAGGCACGGGACAAATGCTCTATTGCTGTTTGAGCCAATCTTTTAAGTACTGCCCTGCATAGAATGACATAAAATACAGGGTTAAGAAAAAATAGTACTCTGTTTATAATTGTGAGCATGCAATATATCCTTTAGGTAACACCATTTCCAAATACTGGATTTATCAATGGGTTCACATCTCCAACCTTCAAGCCTGCTGCTTCTCCATTGACTACACTCAGACAATATCCTCCCAGGAACAGGCAAGTTCAACCATCTTTTAACAGTGTACATACTAATTTATTATCTGGCATGTGGGGTTTTAATCTGCTTATTTTAGTAACACCAGCTAACTTGAAAATACTGGTGAAACTGAACCTGGTGCAAGGTTAAGTGAGGCCAAAGGGCAGATGGTGCTGCTATTGTTAGTGGATGTACTGTTTCTAAATGTAAATGGACTGTCTGAAAGCTGAGAACTTCTGTTCCTTGATTTAGGCTATTCAGATGAAATATTCTGAATGATGGCATGTGATCATCAGGATTATTTTCAGTTTCAAGTAGTTTTTAGTAAAGCCGTAGTTGAAAATAGACAGTGAAAAGGTTAATTTTGATAATTCACATGACCTGTTAAAATGCATATTTATCATTCTTATAAATGAAATATGCAATAAAGGACTAAATATCTTGCTTCTTCTGAATTCTGTGTGTAGACTTAGGCCTCAGAAGATCTCTCATAGTACGTATGTTGAAATGACTTTTGAATTTATAGGAATCCTAGCAAGTCTCATATACGACATACAATACCCAGTGCAGAAAGGGGACCTGGGCTTCTAGACAGTCCTACAATATTCAACTTTTCTGCTGATCGTTTAATCAATGGCGTCAGGAGTCCACAGACGCGGCAGCCGGGACAGAACAGGACACGGATGCAGAATGCTACTACGAGTTATACCAAGAGGGAAGTAGGAACTGGACGGATGGAACAGACTAGTGTTGACTCGTCTCCTGGATTAGGCAGAGGAAGGTGAGTGTACTCTGTAGTTGTCCTCTGAACAACCTGGTATTGCTGCTTCTAAACTGCTTCTTTTAGTAAGGAGGTATGGTACTGGTACTGTTCTGATTACTATCTTAAACTGAGACTGTCTCTGCTCAAAGCTAAAAATCTTACTTCAGAGAAAGTGCTAAATATACAACAAATGCAAAATGGACTTGCATACTTTCCTACCAAATGAAAATCATTAGTGGCAACTAATGAACAATTTACAGCCATAAGATCTAATCCTTTATCCTTCATCTGCTGTAAGAAAGTTTTTGCATATTATTTATTTGAGTTTAATGAAGCAGTTCTGCCCATTCCATTGTTCAGCAGTGAATGTGCACCTGAACCTGTACTAGCAGTGCCCGTTGTCACTTTTTTCAGTTGAAAGATCAGAATTTTGCACAAATTAGACATTTACAACAACAAAGATGATGGATTGGTATGGAGGGAGGAAAAAGGATTACATGCAACTAAGAAAACTATTGTTATGCTATAAAAAACCACTAACCCCCAAAACAAAAAACCCACTTGGGTTTGGCACCAATATTAATGTGAGAATTTAGGAGGCTTATCTTGGAATTTTTTAAATACAGTATAGTTCTAGTAAGTGCTTTATAAAAGTACTGTGCAGCTTTGTTTAACGCTGGCTGTGTTTGTGTCTCCACGTAAATCACATTTTGAGTGACTTACTGAATTGGAAGATAACTCGAGTCTCTTGCAGATGATCCTATATTAGACTTGTATTGTATCATTGCAAAATTAAGTGGGGATTTTGTGCAAGGATTGTAATACTTTTCTCAATCTGATTTGCCAAATTGTGTTATAACTAGCGGATGAAAGTATGATTAAGGACATAGGAAGCAAGATTGCTCAAACTGTAGACTACAAAAATGTACAGGAATAGTTAGTACTTAAATTTATATTCTGATGTGTCGGTATTGAATACATTTAGAATATTAAAAGTCAAACAGAAAACTTAAAAAATATATTGAAACCGAGTTAGAATGCATTGCAAATTTTAAACTGCTGCTTTACCTGAAGCAAGGCTGGGGGAGAAGCACTGAAAACGTTTTGGAGGGGCTTTACCTGAATTGAAAACAGTTAGCCATGTTTCAAAAGTTACATAGGTATAAAAAAAAGAAAAAGACTAAAACCCTTACTTTGGATATTGAAAGGTTTTGTCTAAGCCTTATATATAATCAGCACTGAGATGCTTTTAACGCAGGAGTTACAAGTAACTAGTGTATTCTTATGCTGACTTGTGTAAGATCCATACCTTTATTTTAATGAGAGCTTGCTAGAAATTTTTCTCTAAAACATTTTTTTAATAACTGTCTAGAATGAAGATGGATGAAAATAGCAATTTGAATTCATTTCTCCTGTTTTCACCAGCTACCTTCCATTCATTTATAGGCAAGGTTCTGATAACTGCTTTCTTTCCCTTAGGAAAAACTCATATGGCTACCGAAAGAAAAGGGAGGACAAGTTTACAGTGAGTGTTCGTGATTGTATTCATCTATAATAAAAGTAGGGTAACAAGGCAATAGTATGGATATTATGTGGAGTAGCAGGCGAGATAAGTTATTGCACAAGCAATTGTATGTCACAGTTGACTGAAGACAGCAGCTCATTAGTCACGTGAGTTTACTGCATTTGGGTATCAGAGAAGATTGTCCATTAATGCTGAAGTCAGGAAAAAGTTAAAATTACTCTTTTACGGTAGCAAAAAATTTCCATCTTAGCATTACTTTGTCAGCATGCCAATGTTCATGTTCAGGGAGAGCTAAATAGCTAAGCTCAAATTCAAAACAGTTGATACCTGACTATTGTTCATGTAGACGTTGAAGAACATTTTATAAATCCATGTGTCATAATATATAGCTAGAATGTTAGTTATTAAGTGGTCAGTTCTGTTTCTTAAATGCCTCTCCAAGTTCTGCTTGGTAAGGGTATACTAACATTACTGAAATATTACAGTTTTGGTAAACTTAAATTCCAGGTGAATACCTAAATAGCCTGGATACTTGAATCATAGAATCATTGAGGTTGGAAAAGACCTCTAAGATCATTGAGTCCAACCGTCAACCCAACACCACCATGTCCACTAAACCATGTCCCTAAGTGCCTCATCTACACGTCTTTTAAATACCTCCAGGGATGGGGACTCCACCACTTCCCTGGGCA